TAAACAGCTTAATTCACAATGCATCTGCAATATGTATCTAGTTTTCATTTACCGGTGTGAAATCAAAGACAATAACTGCACAATTCACAGTTTTCTTTTCTTGAGGAGGGTTAAGTGACTAACATAAAAAAAATGACAGTTAACTTCCTCTTTCTGGCCCAGCCACAGTTTCCTCTCCTCTACAACAGTCGCACATTTACCCCGTGTACTTTGTTGCTGACGAAGGCATGAAACTCTGTGGCCAACCTACATTCTCAACATCCCAGTTTACATTTATTACAACTTCAGAATTTTGGGCAATATTGCAAAAGTGTGCATAACATTTTTAGCGATTGAGAAACAGCTGGACTAATGTACTATCCTAAGAAGGAGCAAGAGAGACAAAAGAAGATGGGAATGTGTTTTTGTGTGGGAACCTACGTGCATGCTATTCTCTTCATATGTGTGACAATACTGAATGCAAAAAAACACCCCTGTCCCAACACACAAATATCAAGATAATTGCAAAAATACTTGCAAATGATACTACAACTTTCATTTACACAAGTGAATTATCATTGTAACAATGAAACAACCATTTGTGGTGCCAAATACTAAGATACTAGATGGTTCACTTGTAATAATATGAATGGAAGAAATTGCAAAGTGTAATATGGCTAAATAAGTCTAAATAAAAGAGCCAATTGTCAGTTGGTAAAGTCTAATCACAATTTCAGCTTTTCCATGCCAAAATGTAAGACCTCTTCAAATAAAAATGATTAAATAATAACTAGTGTGATGCCAGGCTAATACTATCTGCTTGCTAAGGTGATCACAGTGTTTTTTAACATGTTGCTAAGGTATAGGTTTAGTAGTTGATAAGGTATTCTGGGTGGTTGCCCAAGTCAAAGTCGCTTAGGTATGTAGTAGGGATGTACGATATTATCGGACCAATATCGGAATCGGCCGATAATGGCTTTAAATGTAAATATCGGCATCGGCCCTATATGAAAAATTATGCCGATATGTCTTGCCGATAAGAAGAATACATTAACTCACATGTGCTCAGGGTGTGCTAGTGATTAGATCACGTCAGCATTGTGGCTCATTCTTGAAGCAACGTTTTGCCTGATGGTGTTTGGATTCACTGTTTTGGATCACTGCATTTAAACTGAGAATTCATGTACAGAATGACGCGTTCGGTGTGTGATAGAGTAAATAGTAATAGCACGTGCAGCGGCAGCCTCCCCCGGGTTCTCATGCCCGTTCGGTAAGGAGTTTTAATTCCGTAGGGGGCGCTGTTGGCCTACTTCTAAAAAAAACTGAAAGCAAAATACACAAATAATATTTAGACTGTGTTTCTGATTAAATAAAGCAGTAATTGATGCCATAAAAT